AACTGAAGCATGTGGTACTTGCCCTGCTCATGTTCAGTTTTGCTTGGTCTGCTCATTCCCCACTGTGCTCCCAGTCACCGCTTCACGGAATGAGGTTGTTTGTTAGTGTCATTGTATGTTGGATATATGGAGCATGTCATTTTATAAGGGAACAAGGTAAGAGGCTGTTTTGAGTTCTGGAGGAGACTTTGGACTTTTGAGTAGTGATGAAACAAAAGCCTATGAGAAATTCTGGGTTGAAATGAATATATTTTTGCAGTATGGGATGGCCAGGAGCCTGTGGGGCCAGAGATGCAATGTCATGACTTGAAGCGATGCACTCAGCGACAAGGGCCACATAGGGCAGCCCATCTTCATCTTTAATTTGACTGGTTTGGAATCACCTTAGAGGCAACACAGCTCTGGGTATTTTGGGGGTGTTTCCAAAGACAACCACCATCCAACAAAATGTTTATTTATATTAATCTTCTTGCTAAAGAAGACAAGTAACTAAACAGGAGTCTTAAACTATATTAGTTTTTCTAATTACTTTAAGAAAATGAAACTACATTAAAAAGTTGGAGTCTATTGAATAAAGCCTGTTTCGAGTGATAAAGAGACACCATAAAGTCCTGGATCTGCTTTCCACCAGTCTGGTTGGTATTCCTAAAATGACTCAGAAAGAATAGAATCACTGAATAATTAAGAAACATCCTGAGATTTTTAAACATTAATTTGGAGGTGGCTGACACATTTTAAAATTTCTCACCACTCATCATATCCCTAAACCCAAGAATATCAACATAAACAGCACAGGATAAAACCCAAGACTATCAACACAAACAGAACAGGATGCCAAACCTTTCCCACTGACGGAGAGTTGCCTAACACCTGCGACAATGCTTCCTACTCCCTCAAAGAGGTCATATGATGGTGGGCACAGATTCAGCAACAACAAAAAAAAAAATAAGAGGTATGAATTAAGCATGAGAAACTCATTACATTGCTGGGCGGTGGTGATGCACAACTTTAATCCCAGCATTTGGTAGGCAAAAGCAGGCGGATCTCTGAGTTCAAGGCCAGCCTGGTCTACAGAGTGAGTGCCAGGACAGACAGGACTATACACAGAAATCCTGTCTCAAAACCAAAAACACAAAGAAAAAAAAGAAACCCATCCCACAGCATGTTCAATCCATGGTATTTCTCGCGCCAGTCTATCTGCGAAGCAAAGAAACACATTTCTATACATGTCTATGACTAGCGATGTCTTTATGGTGCTTTTGAAACTCATCCATTAGCATCGCTGGATGTAGCTTAAACACCCCCTTCTTCTATACAAAATAGATGAACGTTCTACCATTCCTTTCTCCAAACCTTAGTTTCCCCCCAAGGTAAATTCCATCTCCCAGGCTCCCAGCACTCACAATTAGAATCCTCACCTGAGACTCATTTCACATCCCAAGAGTAACCCAGTTTGAAGAGAATCCATGGATGCACCTTTGCCCATTCTGATGAAGTCATGCACAGGATGATAACGTTGAGAATAAATCAAACAAAACTGAGGTTGGCGCATTTGTTTATTTCTAGTAGGACATGGCTGAAAAAAACAACTTAATGGCATCGCCTATTCTAAAAAATATGCTTGAGGTTGATTTGAAAAACAAAAACAACAAAACAAAAAAAATACAGAAAAATTAGTAAGACAAAATGATGCGAAGGTCCTCCAGTCCTTTCTCTGGATTTCAGCAGAAACACCTCCAGCTTCAGAGATAAGAGTACAAGCGAAGGCTGTGCTCAGCTACATAACGTACTGGGCAGCTCCAAAGAATCAAAAGGACTCCTCCAACTCCAGTCAGTGCGTTACTTACAAAGGGAAATGGTTTTTCTTGTAACAAACAACACATTTAGGACTTGATGTTTGTCAGAGAACAATAAGGAAGGCTGTAGCCATACACACCACACACACACACACACACACACACACAAACACACAATTATTTTTCTGCTTTGAATTACAGTTTAACAGGAGTACAACCAAATGCAAATGAGATGTATGCATATTTATGATTTTACTGGCTGGGTGACAGGGCCACCTTTAGTGGCTGCCTTTATTTACCAGCACAAAACCACCCTGCATTTGTTTCTATTCAAACAAATCCCTTTCTTCAAGCCCTGGATGGAACAAAGTATTAATTATGAATCTGCCAATGTATCTTAGTCATGAAAATGATAGCATATGGATGAGAATGGACATTTATTTAGACAATAATATTTAAAAAACAAACAGAAAACCACTTTAAAATATACCTGCTCCATAAATTACTGGCAAACAAGTTTTCTGAAAATCTCTAACGTTTCTAAAAGTCAAAACTGCACCCTCACAACTTTGAAAGTAAGCCTCCCTAACAATGCTGCATGAGCTCTGGCCTTGGCCCAGCACCCACGTGACCATGAGCCAGTGAGTTTCCTTCCTAACTCTTCAGCTGTCATACCTGTAAATAAATGGCCTATCTCCAAACAAGTTAATGCTGCCATTTAAATTCTTTCTCAAAAGGAAAAAATATCCCACCCCCTAATAAACAGCAAGGTCTATGAGCAGTATTTCAGATCCACTGTGGAAAGAGAACAGTAACTAGGTTGGTTTCACTAATTAGGTTCCTCCTGCAAAACCACGGAGCCAGTGTTAGTTGTTACTGGAAAGCACCTCAGCAACCTTGAGTAAAAAGGAGACAAGTCCGTTCATAAAAGGACACAAGTCAGTTTCTGGGGACGGATCCTTTAGCCAGCTACTCGTTTCTCACAAGAGGTGGACGGGCATGAAAGGGAGCATCATACAGATGGCATGAGGATAGGAAAACCTGCTTCATGAGATGAACTCAGGAGACGACGTGGGTGATCACCAATAGGCTCCCAAGAAGGCACAACTCTCTTCTCACAGGTAAATTACCTTCCATGCTGGGAATTTACATGCGAGGTTCTGTATGTCTTACAGCATGCTTTCCCTATGAAAGATCTCATTCCCTTCTATTAACCGAACAGCTGTGTGTGTGTGTGGGGGGGGGGGGGTATTTACTATATGCAAACTGCAAAACTTTAAAAAAAAATGACTTGGCGGTGGTGGCACATGCCTTTAATCCCAGCATGAGGGACACAGAGGCAGGTGGATCTCTGAGTTTAAAGCCAGCATGGTCTACAGAGCGAATTCCAGGACTGCCAGGGCTACACAAGGAAACCCTGTCTCAAGAAAACCTATTAATTAAATGAATAAATCAATAAGTGTGCACATATACTGTTGAAGTACTGACCCAACTTGTACCCGAGAGTACTTCACCCTGAGTACTTTAACGTCAAACAGAAGCACTAAACAACTTAGATGGGAAATTAAACACACTTGCAGTTTTCTTTCCCTCCAACAAGGTCCACAGTCCAAGTCAGAAAAAGTAAACTGAAGCTGGCATCCATGATCAACTAAGCCCCTTGGCTGACTCAGGGTAGACATTTTCCTACTCCTAAACTTGAGAAGAAAAGGACCCAAAAGAAGTAATACCGCCTTGCTAGACACCACAGAATGCTAAAGCTGGCAAAAGAAACAGAATCCCATAGGCACTTCGTTGTGTATGGGAAAGATTTTAGGCTTGGAGGTGGTAAGTCTGGTACAAAAGTTGTGTTGGAGTTAGGGCCCAGGTCACCAAACAGCACTCTGAACAGCATGACCTCATCCTGATCAGAAGTGGGACAATGACAGAAAACACAAAAGCACCAAGCTGCCAGGAGATTAGATGAACTCTCTGGTCAGAACCTCCAGGCAAAGGAGAAGCGAGGCACAACTCCCAAGGTTGTCTGACCCTGAGTTTCCTCACATCTGCAACGCGAACGCGTGAGTGGCAAGTCACAAAGAGACTGTACTGGCCACCAAGAAAGGAAGACAAGTCTGGTCATTAAAAAACAAAACAAACAACAAAAAACCACCAAGACTTCAAGTACAGAGCTGGCTCTGAGTTAGGAACAGCAAACCTGGCTGGGACTCTAACAGCCACTTGTCACTGTGATAAATCCCAGAATCCAAGTGTCCAGGGCCTCCTGCAAATGTGCGATTATCATCTTTATCTCGTCCCCCTCAGACACGATTGAGAATCAATGAGAATACTGTAAAGTATTTAAAAACTGCAAAACGCTAATGCAACTATTAGGTGGCGTTCCGTCCCTCCAGTTTTCTTAGTTTGGACAAAGATGTAATGTGGCTGGATCTGTGAGTGCTAGACAGCTTTCCTTCCCAAGATGAACATCATATATCAAGAGCTGACTGCCTGCCCTTCCCATCCGTCCTCAGGGGTCGCCACCTTTGCTCTCATAACCAGCATTTCCTTCAGCTCAGAGATCATAGGTGACACTTAAGGTTGTTGGGCAAGGGGTTCCTTTCAGCTGGTAGCCCTCTAACAAAAGCTTCCACGAACCCCCATTTATTTTATCACAATGGAGTCGAAAGAAAACCAATCCTTGGACTTTGATCCACTCCAACAACTGCAAAAACACTACAGCCTCTCCACAGAACAAGAGGGAAGTCTCCTGGAAGAGGGAAAAAAGGGTCCCTCCGAGCTGAAGTTCAAGAGAAAGGAGTTGGATCACTCCTTGGGTCAGATTAACACATTCTCGGTCCTTGGGGGCCATTCATTTTACAGTGGGGACCTCTACCTAGCTGAGAATGTCATCTAGGGCCAGTGTCAGGGGTGTTACCTGGGGGCCAGAGCTTTAAATAGCATCACACTAAATAGCAGATCCCTGTTCGAAGCCCTGATTTTAGTAGGCACAAGAAAAAAATTCACTGACCTACCCAAACAACTTCTCCGGAACAGGTTTCTACCCAAGCATGCTGTGCGAGGCAGACAGCCTGCTTGGGCGGTGGGGGTAAGCAATGAGAGAACACTCATCTGCATAGATGAGAGATAAGCAGTTTGTTGTCTTGGGTGCTGACGACTCCTGGCACCAGAGCGGCAAATCCAACTCCAGCACTCTTCCACCCCATGGCCCCATACTCCCAGTCCCCTGCTCCAGATGTTGAAGCTTCACGTTGCCTGGGCCAGTGGAGAGAGGGGCCCCATAAAAGTCCCTGGCTGTTTTTAGGCTGGAACCGTACCTCACCTGTTCCACCCGGCGCCAAAGCCAAAAATCACCAGAATACTGACTCACGCAAGCCCCTGTGGACATCCCAGGGGCGCCTAACAAGTTCGCGGCTGTTTAGTAGCAGGGGAGAAAGACGGGGACACCTCTCCCACTGCAACCAAACTCAGCAGACTGCCCTGAAACGAGGGTGGGGGATCACGCTTAAGTGAGCCACAGTGGTCGGCGGGTGTCACAGCCACCCCAGGGATCGGGGCAGGGAACCGGTGGGTGCCCACCGGGAATGCGCAGCTGAGGCCCCCCGAGGTACAAGGGTCCTCGTTCGGGAACCACGGGCGCCCCCTCCATGTCACCCCCAGCACAACTCAGACAGTCAAAGTGGCAGGGTGGAGAGGTCAGGTCTCAGAAGAGACACAGCCCCAGGCGCGGCGGCTAGGGAGGGTGTAGGCAGGGTTGCCGAGGACGCGCAGGAAACTTACCTCCCCCGGCCGGCGTGCTGGAGCCTCAGAGACCGAGACCAGTTGCGCCACGGCGAGCAAGTTGTCGGGATGTTGCGGGTTCCTGGGTGGCTGCTGCGGGCAGCGGGTGGGGCGGGGCCGGGGCAGCGCCGGAGGCGGGCAGGTGCCGGGCCCTGCCGCGGGGCCACACTCGGCTCGGACACGCGGTGACGGGGACGCGCGGCTGCGAGTGTGCAATGCGCGCGCGCCGCGGCCGGTGTGCGTGTCCCCGCGTTCCCCTTCCTTCCCGCCGCTCCTCTCACCGTCAGAGTGGCTAGCGGACCACAAGGACCCGGCAGCCGGGGGTCGCAAGGCGAGGCAAGATCCGGGGTGGAGGCCGAGGAGTGGCAGCACCCGCCGGCCTCAGGTCCCCGCACGGCGCGCCGGAGTCCGAGCGAGGCGGGCGGCGAGCAGGCTGCGCGGCGGCAGCGACTCCCGGAGGCTGCAGGCCCCGCCCGCCGGCCGCCTAGGCTCTTCCCCTTTTCTCTCCACCCACTGCTCCATCCCGCACGCCCTGCAGGGAAGCCAGACCGGTTTGCAGCAGCGGCGGGGCCCGCAGTCGGAACAAGTGCCGGAGTCGGTGCGTGGGGACTATGCACCCTGTGCCGCTGCCCGCAACCTGGACGGGGGTTGGGAGTGGGGGGCAAGGTGAAGCGGCTCCCTGGAATTAGCAGGATCCTCCGAAGCTCCAGGGCTTCTTGGTACTTCTAGCAGTCTTGAAGCCTCACAGCTGAGTTCTGTGTTGGGGTAGAGCACGTCCCTGCCCCAGGCCACTGAACCAGGTTATGCCTGACTTCTGTTTCTTGGAGAGCTAGCACTTAAGTACAGGCTCCCTCTTCCACGAGGAAAGGACAGGCAAAGGTTCTGAGACCACAGCTGTCCCCCTTCTAAGGACAGCAGGTGTTTTAAGGAAGGTAGATCTATCCAACAGGTAGGGATAGGTTAGTGAGGGGTCCCGCGCAAATGCGCAGCAATGGGGCGCACCTGCTGGAGCTTCTTGGAATCTCACCTAAGTTAGTATAAGTGCAAAGAGGGTGGAGACCAGACCTAAATATGTGTTTGGAGTTATTCTGTCCTGGACACTAATATTAAATTTATCAAATAGGCACGGGAAGATAGCGACTCCTTCCAGTAGGGTCGAAGCAATTGGAGTTTTTCAGCTTCATAACTTCCTTCCACTTTTCCCTTCTCAAACAGTTGTGGGAAATAGAGCTCACGTTCTGTGCGGTGGAGGACAGCATTTGATGATCCTTGCTTGAGGGGGGACACTCCCTTGAGATTCTGCAAAGAACACTGTCTGCAGTTTTGAAACCTTTTACCACCACCCCCACCAACTCCAGTGATTTTTGTCGTGGTTTGATATCAGTCTGGGATGGAGAACAATAAATCCGTTGTAACAAAAATTGATTTAAGGTTTTATTGAAGTGAAACGGGCAAATCAAATAGATGTGAATTGTTCTTTGGCTATATTCCCAGTGTATTTCTTCCAGGTGTGTCTGGCCACTACTGAAGATTCAGGGCACCATTGATTCAGGACCCCTCTGCTTGGGTCCTGGCATCCTGAACTTATTAAAGTACAGAGTAACAGCATGTGTGGTCCAGCTTGCACGCTTTTCAGATGAGAAAACCATGGCTCAAAGACATCCAGTAACACAGACCAGAACACAATTTTCCTTACTCTTCGTCCCTGAACAAAAAGTAACCGAAAAACCAGCTTAACTGAGTTCAGGATGGGGCCAGTGGAAGGGGGAGCAGACAAAGGAACAGATCAAAGATCAAAGAACCTTGCTGCCTCCTGCTGTGAATTACTGTCTAGGGGGCAGCAGCACACTGCTCTTAGTGGCGGACTAGCTGAGATCTGGGAGGGGGGAATCACAGTCTCTCTCTTAGCGTGCTTCTCAGACTTCCATTCTGAAATTGAAGGAGTGGGGTGTGAATTTGCTTCCCAGAGCGGGGAGGCAGGTTGGGTGTCAGTAAAAATGCCTCAGGGGATGTGAAAAACAGCAAAGCTCAGAAATCTCAGTGGATCAAAAGTGGTCAGATGCATTACACTCAGACACCCCAGTCCTCCTTTGCTTCCTCTACAAAGCTGCTTTTCCCATTAGCACCTAGACTGCTTTCTGTAGTCACAGAGGCGAATAGCCTTGAGTTTCTATAGGGAAGATCCAAAGCCAACTGCCTACTGGACATTTAGAGGGCTAATGCTGTGAAACCAGACACAAAAGCCTTGATACTGTAGTGTTATTAGTTCTGTATGGTGAGACAAAAATTTCTTCCTGGCTCTACCTCAATAGAAACTCAAGAGAGTCATCCTCTACTGGAAATAGAAAAAGCATCAATGTCACTAGCAATAGTGACTTGGTCAGTTGATATAGTGACTTGAAGCCTATATAAACCCAGAAAATACACATTTAAATGTCTTACTTAATTTCAAATATTTTTCCCATAGATTCCAGATCTTGGCCCAAAGTATTTTTTTTTAATACTGCCCTTACACAGGAGACATGCATGTTCTTTTTATAGCCCATTTGATGATATTAACGGTCATCAATTGATAACTTGCCTTTATTCACATGATAAAAAGCATGTCTTGAAAACTGTACATTTTTGTATCAGATCTTGGGATTCTGCCATTACCAAGTCTGCTGCTGGACAAAGACCCTGGCGAAGCTGGGCGGTGGTGGCGCACGCCTTTAATCCCAGCACTCGGGAGGCAGAGGCAGGCGGATCTCTGTGAGTTCGAGACCAGCCTGGTCTACAGAGCTAGTTCCAGGACAGGCTCCAAAACCACAGAGAAACCCTGTCTCGAAAAACAAAAAAAAAAAAAAAAAAAAAAAGACCCTGGCGAGCAAGAGCTGAGTCATCACAGTGGAGGTCATCTTTGCTAGGCAAAGATTTGTTCTCAGAGGCACAAACAAGTCCAAGCGAGCTTCATCAGGCTTGGTCCAGATCAACAGACCATCCACCCGAACCATAGGTCTGTAACAAATAATGAGCTGCTACCTGTAGGCAACTCTTTCAGTTACCGACTGCTGCCCAACAAACCATACTAGAACACTGTAGCCCCAAACCCTGATGATTGACTAATCGGACTGTAGATGAACTAATATGAAAACTCACTTGGCTTCATTCCCTTGGCAGCTTGACAGAGCTGCAAGGTGCTGGGAGGCTTCACTTGAATATCAGATATCTCAGTCCTCCACCACGTAACAGCTTCTGACTTCTCATGTGGCTGAGTTGGGCTTCTCTACGGCAAAACGTTCATACTTCTTCCATGGCGTCCAGTTTCTAAAAGGGAGAAACTAGAAACTGTCCTATTTTAAGAATAGAACTTGGAAGTTCTATGCTATTTCCACTTCATTCTATTGTCAACTGTGGGTAGTTCATCTATCATGGATGCTGTAGCCAGGGAAACAAACACAAACAAGAATCCAGAGGAAAGCCTGGGATTGTAGCTGTTGACATCAGACAGCAGAACCCTTACCTTTCACAACTTAGAATTGCCTTCTTTTTATGGAAATGTAATTTCTAAATAGACAAAGGGGCTTAAATATTTTGTATAGCTTGATTTTTCTAATTGTGGAGGGAGAGTTTACCCTGAAAACTCCATGGTCTCTAATTTCAAGTTCACTCTGAAGATTAGCTAAGTCTTGAAATATCATGGCTACTTTCCTCTCTTGTTGTTTAATTATTTTTTACTCTTTTCCCTTCCTTCTGATAGCTGTCTCTTCCTCTCTCCCCTCCCTCCCTCCCTTTTTCTTCCCACCCTTCTTCCCTCCTTGCTTCCTCTGTCTTTTCCCTTTTTTAAAGTTTATATATTGATTCCTGTAATTGAGAAATTAATTTATGTAATATATTCTGATCATGCTCATCCCCGTCCCCAAATCCTCCCAGGTCCTCCCTACCGCCACACCTTCCCGACTCTACCTGTTTCTTTCTCTCAGTTAAAAAAAAAAAAGAAGAAGAAGAAAAAAAACAAGAAACATGCATGCACACATGCGCGCGTGCGCACACACACACACACACACACACTCACAAACCCAGAAACTAAAATATACAAGCAAAAGGTCAATAAGACAAAAAGTACCCAGACAAAGCAGTATGAGACAAAAATCTACAAAACACCATTTTGTGTCCGCCAACTATTCCCAGACATGGGGCCTAAGTGTGGTTCATATACTCGGTGAGAATTTATTGGATAAAACTCACTTTCCCTTTGCAAGTGTTATCAATTACAAACATCTTCTAGGTTAGGGGTAGGAGACGGGTCCAGTTTGCCACTCTGAGAGCTGGGATCCATCTGGCTGGAACCTGTGCAAGCTCTCTGCCTTTTCCCTTTTTAAATCCTAATCACCCCCTTATCCCTCCTTCCAATTTCCTATAAAGTTTCAAAACAACATGGAACTAGGAGTCATAAGACCCATGCAGTGTTTGATTGAAAACTGTCTCCCGTAAGCTTGTAAACACTTGGTACCCCATTGGTACCACTGTTTGGGGAAGTTAAGGAACCCGTAGAAGGTAAAATATTGCTGGAGGAAGTATGTCATCGAGGGTGGGCTTTGAGGATTTATAATCTCACCCCCACTTCCTGCTCTTTTGCCCGGCTTCCTGTATGTGGACAGAAACTTGCTTAACCAACTTCCTGCTACTACCACCTTGCCTACGGCCCTGCCCTGCCTTCCCTACCGTGAGGACGCTATCCCTCTGGAAACACACTGAAATAAAACCATCTTCCATAAGTTGCTCACACTCCTGGTGTCTTATCGCTGCAACAGAAAATTGACTGATGCACGTGACCTTCTCATCCTACCTCTGACTCTGGTGAAGTCGGCATTCTCTTGTTTTCAGACTCCTGGTCTACCTCGCCCGGTTAGCAGAGACATGCTCTGAAAAGTCCCTCCTATTTTATTTACATTATGAGATCCTCAACTGCCTTCTGCCGTGTACACAGTGGCAAGGTTTAAAGGGAGTTTGACTAGCAAGAACTCTCTAAAAACCTGTGTGATTCCCAATGCCTCAAAACTTCTTCATATTTTTCCCTTATAATTAGAAAGCATGAAACTTTCCCAGCTATAAGCCCTGTTTAATTCTTTGCCCAAGGTTAGCATTATCCCAGCTCTCTTGAAAACTCGCTGATGTCTACGTTCTCCAGTCAGAAACAATATGAATACTAGAGGCCCAATGTCAACAGGCATGCAAGTACAACCCTAAAACATTCTTCCTCCAAAACGTAAGAGATATGAAAAAGAGCTAAGAAGGGTTTCTCTAACAAATTTCTGCCCAAATAAAAGCATATGCACTAAGATTATGATTGCACAAAAACTGTACATAAAACCCCCTCAAAATAAAATTACGGAGAATTGAAGTATTCATGTTGAGTGGGGAATTCCAATGTTTTTTAGGTTGATGCTCTATTGGTTTATGCATTTAAACTGTATATACCGTAAGCATTCCTAGTTCTCCTTGCAGCTGTACCACCCGTCTCCTGTCAGAGTCACTGACTCCTCTTTTCCTCAGTACCTTTTCCTTGTTAGGAACAGACTCCCGCGAACATCCTTACCAGGTGAATTTTCACTCCGCGCACGAGTTACAAAAACAAACCCAAAATGATTTATTTGAAGAGTGGAGAGAAGTTGCAGCTATCAGAATGGCAAGGATGGTCAAGAGAACCACACTGAAGTGTAGAAAACATTCTAAAGATACACTATGCCTTCACATACCTTTTTCTTTTATCCATACTGAATTAGAAATTTTTTGTTTTGTTTTGTAATAATTTAATTTTTTATGTACATTGGTAGTTTTGACTGCATCCATGTCTGTGTGAGGCCGTCAGATCCTCTGGCTCTGGAGTTACAGACAGTTGTGAGCTGCTATGTGGGTGCTGAGAATTGAACCTGGGTCTTCTGGAAGAGCAGCCAGTGTTCTTAATCACGGAGCCATCTCTACAGTCCCCTGAATTGGAGTTTTAAAACCTGCAAGTCAGGATCTTGTTTGCTTGCTTGTTTAAGACAGCATCTCTCCTTGCGGCCTTGGCTGTCCTGGAATTCACTCTGTAAACCAGGCTGGCCTTGAACTCACAGAGATCCACCTGCCTCTGCCACCTGACTGCTGTGATTAAAGGCCTGTGCTACCACACCCGTCAGAAGTCAGAATGTTGATGAAGGATGAACGGATCCTCTTTTGGTTGGACACACTGATTTACCCTTGAGGTAGGAGTTAGGGAAAAATAAAAAGAAAACTTGAGGTAGAAGAGGGAGATTGAAGTGAGCTCCAAGTCGTTGTGTC